GCTAGTAGTTGCTCTGACAGTCGCCGGACCTCGCTACCACCCGTACTCAATAGCCGCCCAGGCATATCCATGAGATCTAGTAGAACTATTTACAAAAATTTTGTAGTACCCCCGCACTATCTACGGACCTTAGGGTTACGATATGTAATTTTATAATAATTCATTCCTATAAATAGGGGGTTCATTTTATGAATGAAAGCTGCACTATTTTACAGTTAAACACTGTGATGTTCCTCTCTCTCACTCACTCTCCTTTCGATCTCCGACGCTCTAATCTTTGGACGTGTATCCGAGACAGATTTAGATTCAACAAAATGATTGAGAAGCTGAACCAATGGGAAGGAGGCACCAATAGCGTGTATAAAAGAGAGAGAGAGAGAGAGAGAGAGAGAGAGAGAGAGAGAGAGAGAGGGAGAGAGAACATTGGCCAATGAAAACTTCTGAGAGAGCATGTATATAGTCCCAAAAATATATTGAATTATTTTCTTTTAAAAATATAATAATTCAACAAATTAAAAAAAATAATCCAAAATCTTCCCCTAACAACTTTCATCAATTTTCAAAATGTACATTTTTTTTGGAAAATTTAAGCAAATTTATTTTGCAAATGCACACACATTCTTAAATCTACGAACTCTTGATTGAAAGACAGGAGCAGAAGCACAGAATGAAGATGACTTGCATCAGAATAAACTTTTTCCAACATGAACTGTCAATGAGTCTCTCGGTAGAATCAAAATTCATGTTAAATATAATTTAATAGGAAGTGAGAAAATATTGCATCCGGAGGAAGACGATGTGTATCACACCACGTTGCCGAAAACACGGCTTGGTGCGATCCATATCATCATCTACATATTTGATTTCCCGAACATATAATTTTTTCAAAGGAAAGAAGTTGCAAATTCTTAGCCATGAGAGTCTTCATGCAGCTACAATGAATTTGGAACTAATGAATCGTTTGGTAGCGAGCCGTCTCATCTCTTCTAATTAAACATTTAGTCAATGCAAAGTCTATAACCATTCAGTACCATATTTATTTATTTTGCTGAATGCTACCTTTTTTTTATTTATTTATCTATTAATTTTTGTTAGAAAGTGAGATATCATAAATTAACATTTAATATAATGAATTTATCTTGTGGATTTCACAAATTGCTGACGAGTACTGAATGATATATGCATGGCGGAAGAGCTATATTTTTTTCTCCTTAGAAAGCTACAGATGGTCAATAATTGCATAGAGGAGTGTTCTATTACGGATCAAATTAGGAGAGATGGACATGTATATAATATAATGGGTACAACCTGACTTGAAGCGAGTAAGAATTATCGATTCCTGAATGAAGAGAAAATGTCGCTACTATTTTGGTCAACTCATTCTTTAGTTGATTCAATATTAAAACTTTGCAAGTGCAACTAACTTATTTATTATCTCTTTTGCAACCCTATCTTATGATTGGAACTCTCTCTCTCTCTCTCCCTCTTTCTCTACATATCTTTATTTTATGAAATGTCTTCATTAAGCCAAATTTTATAATTTATGATGCTCCATAAATGTAACATTTTCTATACAACTATGCCCATATCATCACTTATAAAGTAAGGGATCAGCGTGTAAACTTCAGCGAGTATAATTTATTATATTGATTTGTCTACTTTATGATAATATAAAAATCATTAAATTTTTCTATTGTGTTTATTTATCTCTCTAGGTTTCATAGGCTAGTTTACTAGTATGGTCTAACTGTTGCTCGTCAATAAATTCTGATTCAGTGTCTTATAAGATGTGATGAGTATGGTTTGATGCTATGAATCAGCTATAGATTAAGGGATGACTAGAAAGGGAACAATAGGTTGAGGCATATAATTGGGAGTTTTTAACAAAAAGATGACTTCCAGGATGGAAGAGAATATCATGGAAATGATCATCTATGGCACCGTGAAAAAAGATCTCACAAGCACCCCCCAAATAATCATTCTCATGTATCCATACACTCCCACCCTCCCATATGAGTATTCACATATTAGTCTTGATCTCAATGACTAGTGATATCTATAATCTAGAAAGTGGCAACGACATTGCGGCAACACAAATGATTGAGAAATGATGACTTATCTTGACTATTGCATCATTTTTAGAGAATTGATTCTATCCCATGAAAATTTAAATCACTTACCTTGATTTAGTTATATAGAAAATTGACACAATCAAGCATGTTGCTTTATTTGAGTTGGCTACATTCATAAAGTGTAGATTATTTTTAACTACTTTCTGAGAGTAAATACTTTGATGATTCTCTAGTCTCTATATGGGAAAAATAGCTTCCTTTTTTGAATTAAGAAAGTTGTTCATCACTCAATTTCTAGTTTCCAAATTTCACTATAGAATTCTCAAGCCTTTCTAAGATCGAGATAAGAGCTGGGCTAGTCCTTATGGGAATTTATTATGAAGTTCCAAGATGAAGTGTTGAAAGAAAGGACTTAATGGAAGTAATGGCACAATATCCACTCACTAAATCTTTTCTAACAAGGGGCTGTTTGATTCGCTCCCAGCTTAAGAAGTGGAACACCTTGGTCAATGTTACTTTTATGCTTGTAATAACACATACATGTTGAAGAATATAACATCATATATTAGGTTTTTTAAGCTAGAGTTAGTTGTGCTAATTAAATCATTTAAGAAGCTATCAATCACTTCATGTGGGGAGATCCATTCAATAAGAGATTAAAGGCTAGTTAAGGAATCTTGATTCCGTCATAAATAATATCAATCTCATCACCAATGAACTTTTTTGTCAAACTATTATGCCAAAAGATAAAATAAAACAAGCAAAACATCAATGTAAGTTAAAGCACACCTACACTTCTTTATTAGTGCTTATAATGACTAGACTACCCTCCCTACTTGGAGGATGACAGTAATTGAAGTAGGAAGCCTTTCAAAGTAATAAATATTTTGATGACTTATATGGATGATTGTAAGAGTCCATGCTTGGCAATAAAATGATGATTTTGAACATGACATAAAAAATACTAGTGACTTCATTGAACAATTTTTAAAAGTCAAGAAATTGAATGTATTATTCTTTGAAGAAGGTGAACATACCTTCAAAGATGGACTTTTATCTATTAGTTGAATGGTGACATCGCCTTGATGAGATGAGTAAATTATCTCTATCTCTAAATCACTGTATTCTTCGATGATAACAATATAATTTTTAGGAGCTTTCATGATTAGAAATTTCTTCTACATCTTCTTCATAGGACATTCTTTTAAAAGTGTGAAAACTTATGGGTCGTCTAACATCAAATAAGAGTCATTGTTCATTGAAGAAAAAAAATTACAATGCCCAAATTCTAGTTGACTATTATGAATAAAAAAAATGGAGAAGCTGAGATAAGAATACTAATAAAATATTATATTTTGTTAATATGATCTTGAAGAAAGCTTTGAATATTCAAATTATTATTCTTCAAATAAAGATAGAATATAAACACATCCTCCGTTAAGTCAAGCAAAAAGAGGTTATTAGAAGAATTCAAGTTGGTTGGTTGAAGTGGAGAAATACGTCAGGCATATTGTGCGATAGCTAGTACTACTTAAACTGAAAGTGCACATTTGTCTCTAAGATGGTGGTGAGACATGCCATGCTCTTTGGAGCAGAATGTTGGCCTTTAAGAGAGAAGTATAAAACAAAATTAAGTGTTCGTGATATGAGAATGCTTAGGTGGATGAGTGGTTTGATACTTAGAGATAAATGCGAAATGAATATATCTATGATAGGGTTAGTGTAGCTCCAGTGGCAGACATGATTAGAGAGAATTTTCTTAGATAGTTTGGACGCATTAACCGTTGACCATCTGATAATCTGGTTATGAGAGTAAATGCTTTAGATTCGACTTATTTTTAGAAAAGTAGAGGGAGACCTAAAAAGACTTGAGCATATTGTATAAAAGAATGATCTTAACTGATTAGAATTAAATGAAAATATGACACTCAATATGATGCAATTGAGAAGAAAGGATTCATGTAGCCAACCCCACTTAGTGGGATAATGGCTTGTTGTTGTTGTTATTGTGGAAGAAACATTTGAAGAAAAAACTCAAATTTTCAAATTACTGATGTATTTTCTAAACATGAAACTTTAAAGGGCCTAAATTAGACTAAAATACTTCATTCCTGAATATTATTATTCCAAAGAGATGTGAAAAAAAGTAGAAATGTTTGGTGATATCTTTTCCTCATCATGATCATCTCGAACTGTTAAAGGACCATTAGTAAATCTCTCATCGTGATTTAAGCATTCAAAATATTTTTTTTTTGTCCAATTACAACTTTCTAAATATGTTAATATATTAACAATCCTTTAATCTTCTTAGTGCCAAAGATAATAGAGGAGAAAAATTTGAGTGTCTTGTTAAGAGATTCTTGAGCAACAATGCTTCATATTTATTAGTTATTAATTAAGAAATCGTTGATTTTATTTTTGAATGCTTAATTTGTTATTTTATAGTCTTGCTAGTTTACAATTTGATTTTTTAATTTGAGATGATTAACATTTTCCAATTATCAAATATTATGTATTGTTGTTTGATTTCTCAATTTATGTTGATTAAAATTTACCACTAATTATGTAATATTGTTTGCACTTTTTGAAAAACAATTTTAAGAGTGAGGCTATGATGATTAAAAATGTTTTGATAAGTATATGGTGCATATGGCAATGTTGCATTCATTTTATGTTATTGATCCTCCTCAATTGGTTTGACATATATGTATGTAACTCCATAGAGGATTCAAAATATTTGAAAGACACTACATTTGAACCTCATTTCTCCATGGTATGGATGCATGCAGCTTGCCAACCTTAGATGGGTGTATCGAGGTTAATAGAATGAATGGTTTTGATTTTTGAGTCATATTAGAGATGTGTTCACCCTTACTGACGGTTGAGCTACAATTATTTTCTTAGAGAACCAAAACCAAGTATGATTAATTAAAAGAAATACAAACAATACTAAATATAAAATAGATTACAAAACAGTTCTACCACAACTCACAAATACCTGCATAGGCCTTACAACACACAACAAACCCAAGGATTCCTTGCAGTAATAATTGAACCCATTCAGTCCCGTGACCATCTTTATTCAAAAGCAATACTCAAGACACGTACGAAATTGGTATGCATGTGAATTATATATATAATATTATTCTATATTATTGTACAACACACGTGTACAACAATATACAACATTATTATACATGAAATTCTCATGCATGCATGTGAACATCCCATGTAATAGTTTTTCCAGGACAACCCATTTGATAACTGCTAAGCTTTCGACTCCATTACTCTGAAACAGTGCTGCCTTCTTCGGTCTTAGTCTCCTCAATCGTCGGCGGCGGCGGCGGCGGAATTTCCTCCTCCGTGGCCTTCGGCGGCTCCTTCGTCTCTACCACCTCAGCTGCAGCGGGTTCTTCGGCGGCGGGCTCTTCGGGCGCGGCGGGGACTTTAGGCCGGCTTCCTCGGCCTTGACGACCTCTTCTGCTGCTGCTTCAGCGGGCTCGGAAGCTGGCTCTACTTCTGGCTCCGGTGGGGCTTCTAGGGTTTCTTCAACGGCTTTGGGTTCTTCGGCTGCTGCTGGGGAGTCGGTAGTGATATCTTCGGCGGCGGCAGGCGGGATTTCTTGCTCCACCGGGGCGGGAACAGATTCTACCTGCAATCACGGATTTTTTTTATATTATTTGGATTAATGAAGTGGCAAAATATGTGCCTAAATATGATTTTGATGTCATGCATAAAAAAATAAGTATGTATTTGATGCTGAAGTTATATGTGCCTAAATATGATTTTATCAAGTGTTAGATATGTAAATATGGAACAATTATGTGACATGTATGTATTTTAGATCCATCAAGTTTATTTAAAAGTAAATAAAAAAAATTGATTAGTTGTTTTTTTTTTGTCAATATTATAATAAATATAGTAGATGTAAAACTCATTTTGGGAAAAAGAAATCTGAATATTTTGATGTTTTATTTTGTTTTATAAGATGAATCATTAAGATAAAGGTATGAGATCGTTTTTGCTCCCTTCTTAAATTAAAAAAAAAAAAATTGATTTATTTTTTATTCAGCTAATATTGAGGTCACTAAAAATTATTAATTAAAAAACTGTTTTTTAGTTTAAGCTAATTGGAGCTACATTTTTTTATTAAGTTAATCGATAATTCCTAAAATATAATCCATATACTGGCAATAAGCAGTGGAACCGTCCGACTTTCGTGTGACAGAGATTGAACGGTGCTCAAACGTAGATCGGTTATCGTGGAATCCAAGAGAATAGCTTGAAAAAATTTGAAAAAGTATTTTAACATAAATCAATAAATAAATAATTTAAAAATTACTTGCTCTACACAAATCGTCTCACGGCCGCATATTTTCTTGATTTTACAATAAGCAAAAGCTTCCTTCTTCCGCATAATAATCTATACTCTGGTCTTTTTATTTTACACAGAGAGAGAGAGAGAGAGAGAGAGATTTACCACCTCAACTGCTGCCATGGAATGGATGATATTGAAGTGTTATGAGCTTCCAGCCACAGAGTGAGAAAGAGAGAGAAAGAGGGAGCACAAAATAGAGATAGAAAGAGAAAGAGCTAACTATGATCAGATGGAAGTGGTTTGTGTGTGATGATGGTCTATTTATAACCCCACTTTCTACCTCCCCCACTCAGTTGGAGAATCTTAGGTGCATCGTATCATAAGAGATTTTTAATATTTCGGTAAGTCTAGAGCATGAGGCCCTTTAATATGGAGAAATTATCACATTATTATCTCGTTCACTGTAACACAAGAGATGAATTATTGCTCTCTATTTTTTTATTTATTTATAAATTATTTTATGTATTCAAAAGGACTACTAATTACTTCAAAGGGAATATCTAAATAAAAAACGTAATTAATTCCAAAATAAACCTGATAGCTTAAATGCAGGCTTTCTCTCTTTTTTTTTAAGCTGCATGCCGCCACAACTTTCGGCCTGCTTTCCACGTGGCGAATTTCTATTGGTTTGTAGTAAGAATGTCGGCCCCACCTGCCAACTCTAGCCTGGAAAGCTTGTAATTATGGGACCCACCTATAATAACGTCGAGGGAGTGGCGGTGGAGGGCGGGTCCCATCTCAGAAGGAGGCGGCCATGACGCTGCCGTGGCGGGGATCTCCACTTCAGGATCCAATAGCTTTTCTGCCGATTGTCCGCATATATTTCGTCTATGCGAGCGGCTAGATCGTGGATCTTAAGCAAGTGAAATGACTGTTTGTCGTACGAATCGAATTATGCGACGTTGCGGAGCCTGAGCCCTGCCCGTACAAGCGAGAAAAAAAAAGGCATGAGCGGCGTGCGTGACAGCGAATCGCGGGGCCCATCTGTCGCATCCTTCCATCTGTATCGACGTGGCATCTCTGCTGTGTTCGTTCCCCGAGGAATTATTTTAATACAAAATATGGGAAGCACCGAATTTTGATGCACTGAATTTTGAACAAGAAATTTAGACCGTTGATTTTAGATCAAACGGTAGTACTAGGGGCACAATTTTTCGGCGAGGTTAAATATGATTGGAAAAATGCTTGCAGCCGACGTGGCTTCCTGTTCGGATTCGGTGGGAGTGATGTCAAGAGGGACAGCTAAGCAATTTTTTTTATTCTTAAAAAATATTATTCAAAATTTAAATAAATTAATGAATTTATGTTACCACTAAGGAACTGGTTTGTAAAAAAATGTATAAACTTTAAAATAGAAATTGACGTTTATCGCATTCTTAATAATTTTGAGTGATTTTTTTTTTAGAGAAGAAACATTTCAACATATATATAACAAAAAGTTTTATGCACTAATGTTAAAAGAAAATAAATTTATAAAAGAGAAGAATATGATGGAAGAAGATCCACTGCAAGAAGATCGTGATGTGTATCTAATCGAATGAGTCAAGCCATGTGAAACAAGTCACTTAGGACCAAATTGTCTGAGCCAAAAAGTTGGCAAGAATATAACGCGATGATCCAAATTCCAAGTAAAGGTCATTTAACCAATAGTGTCTGAACAATCCATTGCAGGAAAGTCATTATGATGTAATAGATGATCCCACAATAAAACAGACCCACAAGAAGCGTCAGTTTCATAACTATCTCTAACAATCAAAGAGAGAACCAAAGACCTCTCACCAAGGATCGAAGATTGTCAGCCATGTTTGATTAGTCGACTGAAACCCTACTGTCCAAGCTCAACTTACCGATCTCACCCGGTTAAGCGAAATCAACCAAGCTTAGTCGGCCGAGCCTGAAGGCAACCAGGCGATAATTCAACACTTATAAAACACCGCAAATATCCCATTACAAACACTCTCCAAATTGGGGTAAGAATATAATATCACTATTGTACTACATCTTCTATAACATGGGCAAATATTTAATGTAGAAATAATATTATTCATTACCGTTACTCACTCACACACTCTCTCTCTCTCTCTCTCTCTCTCCCCTCATATATGTTGTATTTCTTGGGGGACCTTACGGCAGATAGACTGACGACAACATGGAGTGCACAAAGAAATTTGTGGTCCAACATATCCAAGATTTGAAAGATCAAATATTAGAAATAATCAAAGATGAGTTGAGTTTGGAGTATGATCAATAATCCTGACAAGACATTCTGACACTAAGGACATAACAGTCTCCACGGTCACAAAAAGGGAGCATGTAACCCAATATCTTGATAGCAATGGGTCGACATCCATAAATCGACATTGGGTTAGGCATACCGAAGCATCACGCCAACCACAAAATCATTATTCCAGCAGATCCATGATGTTGAGCAACCAAAATGATTCAAGATTTTAACACTTGAATCTTACAATGGACGAATGGATCTAATACATCACTTCTTTCGAGTTGACTATGTGTCTTCTCAAAACCAATACCCCAGTGAAGTATTGACACTTATTCATCATACTATGAGACTTGTCCCTCAGAAAATTCAAAAAAGTACAGTTAAGTGTAATTACGTCATTCACAGATTTCAATGAATGTATATTTCATAGTTTGTCAATGCTTAGAAGCCTTAGAAGAGCTGATAGGCTCTCGAATAGCTTTGTCAGGGATAGAGTGAGATTATATGTAACTCGTTTCTAGAAGGAAATGTTGGAGGTTAGATATTTAGAATCCACGGTCACTCATGCGACCCTTGTCCTCCTACATGCAAGGAATGCACCAATCAAAGAATTTAATCAAGCCATTGGAGCTAGCCAACAACCATATTTAAGGTAGAAGAGTACAACTACAACCCCCTCCTTCATTTAGAATTGGGCAATCCAATTGCCATCCATCAAACAGAACTACCAATGGAGATGGTTAGAAGCCAAGACACCACCCTCTCACTCTTACTCAAGCTCACTTCAAAGATTCATGATGACTCTCGAATAACCGATGGGATAGGTCTTTTATTTTATATATCCTAGCCCATATTTATATCTATTGGGTACCTAATAAACTAACCTACAACTTCAAGATTTGACTAATCTAGGGTCTGTGTAGTCAAAGATTTTCATCTATGTTGGTTATCATGGGGTTCACAAATTAGCGCTATCCAAGGTGTGGTTAAAAATTTTTTAAAGTTGGTTAATTTTAAATTTTTTAGACCTTCACTGATTAAGTAGTATTTTGTTTGGTCCCTACATTGTTCAGTCATGATATCAAATGAAAGTCTTTCTGAAGTTTTTTCAGTTTCAATTCTCCTATGCTGTCAGCCAGTGTCATCAAATCACAATTCTTTCTAAAGTTTGATTATTCACCTTAATTTTTTATTCCACCTTCCTAGTGTTTTTAATATGTGGTTTACAACTTCATACTCAGGAAGATTAGACTTAATTTTTTCTAATTCTAGATGTTTTATTTTTAAGATTCACTCATAATCCTATTGAAAATATTTTTAGCTTTGAAGGCAAAAAGGATTTTCTTCAAATATATGAAATTTTTTCATGCAAAAAGAGAATATGAGTTTGCTTTTATAGAAAATAATAAACTTAGAATGACCCAAGAGTTTTATATTTATAAGCTAAGGTTAAAAATTATATGTTTTTGAAAAGAAATAATAGTCATTCAATAAACACTTGTGCTAGGGAATATACAAGCCTTGCCTAGCCTAAGAATTTGAGAGAGCATGACAAACTTATAGATTTTAGTTGTCTTATGCTTAAGTGAAAATTTTAAAATATCTTTGGAAAGAATAAGTTTTTTTTACCAAATTTTTAGTGCTTGAAAAGATTCTTTTAAAGTTAGGAAAGTTTTGACTTTTAGGAATTGTCTTGGAATTTTGAAAAGGTTAAAGTTTTAAAAAGCTTGGACTTTAATCTTTGAATTTTTTTTCTTAAAAATGTTTCAATCTTGAGAGAAAAATGTTTGCAAGAATTCTCTTCCTTTTGAGCTTTGAAATTATCCTTTTGAAAAAGATATTGAAAAGAAGTCTTTAAAAGAAGTTCTTTCTAGCTCTAGAACATTCAAAGGGATCTCTTTATAAGATTATAAGGCATGACCATAGCATTGAGCTTTAATTCCTTTCATTGAAATATTTGATATTTTTGAAAGAAGTTATTTATAAGAGAATTTTTTCCATCTGAGCTTTTCTAAAGTTCAAAATTAAGAAAATTTTTAACTCTTTTAGTTAGACTAAAAAAATTTGATATAGATTGATTAAATTTTCAAAGATTTATAATTGTAGAGAAATTTTAATTAATATAGAAAATATTTTATAGTGAAGTTATTTACACTCTGAAAATATTTTTGTTCTAGAGAAAGCATTAATTTACTTATAAATAAAAATATTTTTTCTCTTTTAAACATATTAGATTTGCCAAACTCTCTCTTGCCAAAAACTTTAGGAAGTTCAAACTTCCTTCCTTTTCATTCTTTAACCACACAAGAAACTCAGCTAAAGTTGTTTTTCCTAATGCTCATCGAAACCCAACCTACTTAAAAAAGAGATAAAACACCAAGAAAACACCCACTCATGCACACAACATCAAAGACATGCAAACCATGCAACAAACATTCATCCATATGTGCAAATATTTTTACTATTCTTCTTATACAAGTACACATACATTTCATTTGACATGGAATAAAAATGAAATTAATCTAAACTAGTCTAATCTAATCAACGCAACATAGAGCACTAAGAATTGATTCATTTTGATAAAACATTCACAGGGCTTCTCATTTTAACACACACACACACAAACACACCCACGCATTATATATATACATATATATACACACACATCTATTCTCATCAGACTCATGGATTGAAGGCCTCTTGGAGGAAACCACTATGGGGAAAACTTCTTTCTCTCTCAATGGCTTTCTTTTGTTGGAGAATTTTTTCTAGGCTTCTCCTCATTGATGACATCCTAAAGCTGAATGGGTTAAGAGGCCCTTCCTGCTGTGTTCTTTGCAAGAAGCAAGAGGAAACAACTGAGCACCTTTTTTTTCCCAGTGTAGCTTTGTTCAGCAAGTATGGTCGGCTGTGCTCAACCAATAGCAAGTGCAAACAATTACTCCTACATGGCAGCAGTTTCTCATTTTCTGGAAGGACTGGCATCAAATTAATCTATTAGCTATCCCTTGTGTTGCG